TTCCCTGATGATGTCTCTGCTGAGTTCACACCAGCAATCCCACAAATGTTTGGTCTTGGGTCAGCAAGATTATAATCTCCATCCCATATGGCAAGAGACTACCTGAGAATATTACCGTCCACCAAACTGTCTGCTTAATTTTAATAAGCCTTAACAATGATATAAATGTCCCAGACATTTTATGGGTCTAGAATTTATTAGTTAAGAGGGCAGCATTTATTTCAATTGTAACAGAAACTCTTAAATGATTTATAATTTTACTCATAAAAATTAACAAGCAGTACAATTTTAGCAGATATGTAAACTGCTAGGCCAAAAATATTCCAAAAATACCAAAATTAATAGAATCCAGTTTGATGTAATTTCTAACTATTTCAGACCTTCAGTATGAATATATTAGAATCAGCAGTTAAAGAAAAGTTTCACCATAAAGACCTGAGCAGTGGGAAAAAGATATCTTTTGTGAATTATTGTGAGGGTTTCTTATACTTCTGAAATGTTCAGTGAAAATGTCTTATTTCAGGATTCTGGCCCCATCCCCAACCCACTTTATAAATGTAGCGGTTAACCTTCCCACTTTCATGTGATGTTGTATTGTTTAACATTATTCCCTAATTATTCAATGAAGATCCCTTTATGAAGTTGAGTTTTTCTCTGTTAGATTTGTTTTGATGCTTTATAACTATTATGTAAGATTTATTTTAACTCTCACTTATTCTTTACTATTTTAAAAGAATCCTTTGTTAAAAGTTTATCAGTAAAAGGATGTTTAATTTCTGTCTTCAGCTTATTTTACATTTCTGCCTCATGTTGACATCAGTGTTGTTTGTTCCTGGAGTCTAATGATGGCCATTTTATAAGGATCTTTGAATGTCATCACTTGTTGTGTGCTTCAGGCTTTGTGATTGCAGTATCTCTCCCGTAGTTAACATTTTACACATAGGTGTGATTTGGCTGGGCCTTTCTCTAGGCCTTCCTTTGTGTGACTAAATAAATGTTGATACTTTTTCTGTTTCAACTGTTTATTACATCGTAACTTAATTAACAGATATTATCTTCACATCCCCTTCCACATATATCCGATTTTCAAAGTGAATCTTTCTGGATTCTCCTGCTAGCTGAAACGGTGTTTTTAGTGACTGGGTCCTTGTTCTACATGAATGCTAATCTTTAAATGTATTTAATATTTATATGTGTCATACCAAATGAATTGTACTTGTTTCTCAAACTTGTATTTTGCAAGGGAATGTGTCCGTGCACATGCGCCAGTGCAAGGGAGTGAGTGCGTGTGCGCGCCAGTGCAAGGGAGCGAAAGCACAATGCAAGAGTGTGCACATGATTGTGAGGGCATGAGAGTGTGTGTGAGAGCATTGTGTGTGTGTGTGTGTGTGTGTGTGTGTGTGTGTGAGACAGTGTGTTGGTGTGAGTGTGTGTTTGTGTGTGAAAGGGAGCAACAGCGCGAGCGCGAGACAGTGTTTTTAAGGTCTTGATGAAAATTTGTAGCTCAGCTTGTGGATGTGGTTGTTCATTTGCTCACCGAGCTGGTTGTTCCGTGGTGTGCATACGTTTCATTACCATTCAAGGCAACATCGTCAGTGTGACCTCTAATCAAAGCATTGATGTTCTGCTCTATTCCGAATTTATATGATCCTGTGGTATGGTGGGTCTTGTCACTTCCAGTTCTGTTTTTCAATAGCGGTCTGTACACGGGGTCTATTTCTAGGTGTTTATTAATGGAGTCCCATGTTGAGAACCAGGCATCGAGAAATTCCCTTGCATAGCTGTTGTTCACTTGTCCCACTTGAACTGGTGGCCTTCATTGTCTGTGTGTATCGAGACAAGTGAATATTGGTCATGTCTTTCTACTGCCAGCTGGTGTTCATGTATCCTGGTTGTCAGTTTCCTCCCTGTTTGTCCGATGTAATGTCTATTGCACTCGCTGCATGGAATTCTGTATATCATTTTAGTCCTGTTTACTGTCTGTATGGGGTCTTTAGTCTTTGATAGCATTTGGCACAGTGTTGATGTAGATTTGTGTGTAATCATGATCCTATGCGGTCTAAGGAGTCTGATTGTCATTTCCGATTTATTTTTGATGTAGCATAGTTACTAGTGTCTTCTGTTGTACCATATCCTCTGATTGTCGTTTGTTTTTTAGGCATCAGCATACAAAACGTCTTGAGTATCCGTTGTCGGTAAATTCTATGTGCAGGTATTCATCTTCCTTTCTCCAGAGTTCTGGAGTGTTGCCATATGATATGGCTCGTTTAAATAGTGTCTTAATGCAGCTCTGTTTGTATATGGTGGGATGGTTACAATCGAAGTTCAGGATTTGGTCCGTGTGCGTGACCTTTGTGTACACTCAGGTCTAGAATTCGCCGTTAGTTAGTCTCTCTACCATTACGTCTAAGAGCGGGAGCTGTTTGTTGTTTCTTCCTCTCCAGTGAATTTTATGCAAATTGGTGGGTTTCTTCTTCTACTTTTATGCATTTGATTACTATGAATGTGTCATCCACATATCTTATCCACAGTTTCAGTTAGATTAAAGGAAGGGCTGTGTGTTCCAGTCCCTGCATCACTGCTTCTGCAATGAGACCTGAGATGAAACCAGTGTGCCGTTGTATATTTGGCCATTGAACGTGAAGTGCATTGTGAGGCATAAATCTAAGAGTTTCAGTAAACTGTCCTTGATGATGTTGTTACTGGTGTTCAGGATCAGTGCTCCTGGTCCTTTTAGTAGTGTGCCCAGTGTGTCTCTGGCTAACAGTACATCAATGGACATAAATTCTGTTGTAACATCAAAGGAGATCATGATTTCATCCTCGTCAATTTTTGTGTCCCTGAGCCGTAAGAAATTTTTGGGCCACATGGATTGAGTGTGGGGATCTACTAATTAGGTTTTTGAGTCTCCGTTGTCATTCTCTCACTAGCTTGTATGTAGGTGTGCCTTATAAGGTGACTATTGGTCTGAGCGGGATTCTAGGTTTGTGTACCTTAGGGAGTCTGCAAAAGTGGGGTGGGGGTGGTGTTTGAAACATTTGGTTTCATTCTGATGTAGTCGCATTAGTGATACCTCCTGGGGCGGCACAGTGGTTAGCACTGCTGCCTCGCAGCACCAGGCAGCCAGGTTTGATTCCAGTCTTGGGCAATTGTCTGTATGGAGTTTGCACATTCTCCCCATATCTGTGTGGTTTCCTCCCACAGTCCAAAGATGTACAAGTTAGCTGGATTGGCTATGCTAAATTGCCTACTGTCCAGGGTAGGAAAGGCATGGGGCGGGTCTGCGTGGGTGCTCTTCGGAGGGTTGATTTAACGTAATGGGCCAAATGGCCTGCTTCAACACTGTAGGGATTCTATATTTAGGTTTCTTGAATGTCTGGGCTATCCTGTTCTCTAGCTGTGGAGTGGGGTTTGATGCCACCTGCATGTGGCTGTATCTGCAAATAGTGCCTGTGTTTTCCCAATGTAGTCTGTTTTGTTCAGAACAATGGTCATTCATCCTTTGTCTGCTGGTAGGATTGTGATAATTTATCCTTCTACATTCCTTCTAGGGCCTTTCTCTCCGCTGTGCTTAAGATGTCTGATTCGTGTTTACAGTTAAGTGCTGGGACTACAGTTTGTCTGATGGCCTGTTGAGTTTTCTCAGTGAGTCCATTGGTTTTTAGCATTTACTCTAGTGCTGCTAAGAAGTCGGTTTTACTCGCATCCTTGTGGGTGTAGTTAAGTCCACATATCAGCTTGGCTTTTTCTGTGTCTGTGAATTGTTTGTCGGATAGGTTCCTTGCTCACGTGTCTGCTTTGTTCGTGTTGTCCCAATGGATTAGTCCGGTTAGTTTCTCCTGTAGGCAGAGTCTTTTCCTTGTTCTGGTTCTCTGTTGTTTAGTGTTAATGGTTTGTTCCAGTATTGTGGTCCACTGTTGGTTGGTCGAGTTCTGGTACAAAGATTTTTGGCGCACAATTTCCCACTCGTATCTGTCGAGGCAGTTATGGGCATCTGTGACCACTGCCCGTAGCATTCTGCAGCCATTTTGCTCTGCTATTCTTGCTTGTGGATTGTTTAGTGGTGGTTTGTATTTCATGTGCTGACGCAGTACACAATTCCTGAGGCATGAAGGAGCGAGAGGGCAGGCACGATAGTGTGCGTGTGAGCAAGAGTGAGAATGTGGGGGAGCAAGAGCATCTGCACGTGTGAAAGAGTGAGTGTGTAGGAATAAGGGAGTCGGTGTGTGTGAGAGGGAGTGACAGGGTACATACATGTGTGACAGTCAGTGTGAGGGAGTGACAGTGTGTGTATTTGAGAAAGATGGATTGTATGCATGAGGAAGAAGGAAGCATGTTTGTGAGAATAAAAAAACGAGAGCAAGAGTGTATATATGAACTCTAAGGCGGAGTTATCCAGACACACATCTATTTTTCCTCCTCCTCACCAAAAACATTTCCCAAAAAGCAAGCTAGAAGAGGAAAAAACAGGTTTGAAGGCAACCCACATTGGACCCACACTTTTAAATAAATTCTGCCAAGGTCAGCTTGAAGTATGTGCCACCAGAAATTAAAGCGATTGTTAAACCAAAAACTTTGCTTTGCTGTGACTCCCTTCCCTGGTGATCAGAACTTGAACCCTGGTCTCCCTTTCTCTTACACCTCTTCTTAACCACAATGGAATAAAAGGTTTTAGTGGTTAGCTCAGCTGCTGGGAACTTTCAAAACTGTATTTGTTATTAATTACTCATTTCTTTATCGATTTAATGGTTTGGAACTTTTTTTAAAATTCATTTACTGTTCCCAACTTTGTCTTTCTGAAATTTGCTCACCAGACCTCTTTGGCGAGAGCAAAAGTGAAATGTGGTTCTCCTCAAGCCTGTTTTAAACATTAAACATTTAAACAGACACTCAAGAAACTTATCGGAGGCGCACTGAGGATGTCTACCTCGAATGGTGATGAAACATCTGCAAACCAACCTACCAGCTCAATGAGCAAATGAACAACCTTATCAACAACCTGAGCTGCAAGTCTTCTCAAAAACTTTAAAGAGAATTTTTTAAATTTAAAATGAGTGTTGGTCTTACACAGTGGCCAAGGTACAGTTAATGGAAGCAACAATTATTCATAAACAAGAATCTGTCATTTGCAGACACTAAGAACAGGACCCTGCTTTGCGCCTTAAACGAGGCGGGGTTGCGGGGGGAGAATTCCCTGGTTGCATTCTCCATGGCAGCTCAAGACCAATCGATTTTCAGTCAGCACACTTTCCTCATGCGGTATAAGTTGTTGCCTTCGTAATTCGATATTCTTGCAATTGTCCTGATGGGCACTTTACAAAGAGCTTTGACAGACTGCCCTTTGTCCATCGATACACAGGCCAGGGTCCTCCAAAAGCGACTGCGCGCAGAATGAGAACAGCGCAGTCAGCTGTGAACCTGCTGGTGTTTCACCAGGTAGGACGATCGACTGAAGCCCTTTCCACACAGGGAGCAGGTGAAGGGCCTCTCCCCGGTGTGGACCCGCCGGTGGCTGAGTAAGTTAGAGGCCTGGGCGAAGGCTTTGCCGCACAGGGAGCAGCTGAAGGGATTCTCCCCGGTGTGGACCCTCCGGTGGCTAAGTAAGTTAGAGGCCTGGGCGAAGGCTTTGCCGCACACGGGGCAGGCGAAGGGCCTCTCGCCGGTGTGAACCCGCTGATGGGCCAACAGGTCCGACGACTGGTTGAAGGCCTTACCGCACTCTGAGCAGGCGAAGGGCCTCTCGCCGGTGTGCAGTCGCTGGTGTCTCTGTAGGGTCGACGATAGGGTGAAGGCCTTGCCACACTCAGGGCAGGCGAAGGGCCTCTCGCCGCTGTGGACACGGCCGTGCGCCAGGAGGCTGGCCGACTCGGCGAAGCGCTTCCCGCACTCGGGGCAGGCGAAGGGCCTCTCGCCGCTGTGGACCCGCTGATGCCTCTGCAGGTTAGAGGCCTGAGTGAAGCCCTTCCCGCAGAGGGGGCAGGTGAACGGGTTCTCCCCGGTGTGGACCCGCTGGTGGGTCTGCAGGTTGGAGCCGTGCGTGAATCGCTCCCCGCACACGGGGCAGGCGAAGGGCCTCTCCCCGGTGTGGACCCGCCGGTGGGCCAGCAGGTCCGACGACTGGTTGAAGGCCTTGCCGCACTCGGAGCAGGCGAAGGGCCTCTCGCCGGTGTGCACTCGCCGGTGTCTCTGCAGGGTCGACGACAGGGCGAAGCGCTTCCCGCACTCGGGGCAGCCAAAGGGCCTCTCCCCCGTGTGACTGCGCCGGTGCGTTTCCAGCGCCGAGGGGTAGGTGAACTTCTTTCCGCAGTCCCCGCACTGACACAGCCTCTCCCCGCCTCGGTCACAGACGTGAGCCTCCAGGCTGGACGGCCGGTCGAATCCACGTCCGCACACCGAGCATATGAATGGTTTGTCCGCAACACAAACGCTGCTTTCCCCTTCCATGCTGTGGATGGGCTTTCAGACCCTGAAGAAGTTGGCCGAATGGTTCAGGCTGGCGAAATGTGTGCGCTTCCCCGCTGCAAACCCATTCCCCGGCGGTCGGCCCACTACTGCCGCCCCGGGCCTGGCATGAACGGGACTTGAACTGAGCAGACCAGCATCTGCCACTAGATGGAGGCTGGGACTTTAGTGTGAGCTCAGAATGGGAGCTAAAGAGCTAACCGAGAAAGAAACAGCATGTAGGAGTGAGAACCAAATGATGTTAAATAGAAACCCGCAACAGTAAATTGATATTACTTCTTCTTCAGTGATGAGGAAAACAACGTTAAGTGAGTTGATTTTAAACAGACTTCCTGTACACAGTGCAAACACTGCAGTGAGACTCTGTCTCAAGTCAGTTTAATCACACAAACCCCTGGCACTGTGCACACGTTCTCCCAGAAAGAATGAAGGGAGTTTACCAGCACACAACATATCGCTGTAATGCAAACACACTTCTGACAGGACTGTGACCTTGGCAGTACCCCTCCTGTTACTGTCCCATCATGAATGCAGCTTGATTAGAACCTCCATTGGTAAGGATTTCATTGTAAATAGAGATGAGTCTGTTGTTACTACTCTATGACAAACATACACTCTTTTTGGATTCTGAGAGCTGAATCGAAGAGGTGATAAATTGGCAGATGGTAATGGCTGTTCTTCCTCACCGAGCTTCAGTCAAACAATGATAGTCCTCGGACTGGGACCGGCATTCAGAATTTTAGAGACAACAAGAAACTCGGGGTTTGACCTGTTGAGTGAATGGAATTTCACTAAAGCAATGAGCCAATCCTGATTTGTTTTCCCCATTGTAGATGAGAGAGCATCGTGAGCAGTTATTACAGTTTACTAATTCAGAAGATGTCCAAATAAATCATTGTTTCAGCGAGATGGAAGTTTTAGAATCTTGGACAGTTGAATGGAAGGAGGTGGAACAGCAAATGTTGCATCCTGTGAAGGACTCATGGGAACAAGACTGGGTGTTGAATGTGGCAAAAGAATGGACCAGGATGTCTGAGAAGGAATGGGCCCTTCCACGTGGACTTTACAGTATGGGCACTGCAGAAGGGTCATAGAACATAGAACATAGAACATTACAGCGCAGTACAGGCCCTTCGGCCCTCGATGTTGCGCCGACCTGTGAAACCAATCTGAAGCCCATCTAACCTAAACTATTCCATTATCATCCATATGTTTATCCAATGACCATTTAAATGCCCTTAAAGTGGGCAAAAACGTGAATGCTTAGGTCAGGAGGGGATAGAAAAGCTACAAGAGTCTTCATTTCCCAGCCCAGACCAGTGAAAGGAGAGTAGGTGGACAAGCAAACGTGGGAAGATTCTGGCAAGGCTAGAGATGCGAGATAGTAGATGCTTGTGGATGTGGTGCCAATCAAGCAGGCCGCTTTGTCCTGGATGGTGTCAAGCTTCTTGAGGGTTGTTGGAGCTGCATCCATCCATGCAAATGGGGACAATTCCATTACAGTCCTGACTTGTGCCTTGTAGATGGTGGACAAGCTTTGAGGAGTCAGGAGGTGTGTTACTTGCTGCAGTACTCCTAGCCTCTGACATGTTCTTGCAGCCACTGTTTATGTGGCAAGTTCAGTTCAGTTTCTAGTCAATGGTAACCCTGAGGATGTTGACAGTAGAAGCTTCTGTGATGTAATGTCATTGAATGTCAAGGGGTGCTGGTTAGATTGCCTGACGTTTGTGCGGTGTGAGTGTTACTTGCCACTTGTCAGCCCAAGCCTGGATATTATCCAGATCTTGTTGCATTTAAACACTGCTTCAGTTTCTGAGAGGTTGCGAATGGTGCTGAACATTGTGCGATCATTGGCAAACATTCCCAATTCTGACCTTATGGCGGAAGGAAGGTCATTGTTGAAGCAGCTGAAGATGGTTGGGCCTAGGACTTGACCTTGAGCAACTCCTGCAGAGATGTCCTGGAGCTGAGATGACTGTCCAACAACCACGACCATCTTCCTATGTGTCTGGTATGATGACAGGCAGCAGAGAGTTTTCCCCCCAGATTTCTATTGACTCCAGTTTTGCTAGAGCTCCTGATGCCACACTTAGTCAAATGCAGCCTTGATTTCAAAGGCCGTCACTCTCACCTTCCCTCTGGAATTCAGCTCTTTCGCCCGTGTTTGAGCCAAGGCTGTAATGAGGTCAGGAATTGAGTGGTCCTGGCAAAACCCAAACTGGGTGCCAGTGAGCATGTTATTGCTGAGCAGGGGCTGCTTGATAGCACTTTTACATCCTCCATGACTTCACTGATGATTTGAGAGTAGACTAATGGATCAGAATTTGGCTGAGTTGGATTTGACCTGCTTTTTGTGCACAGGACATACCTGGGAAAATGTTAAGTAGACGCCAGTCCTGTAGCTATACTGGAACATCTTGGCTTGGAGTGTGGCATGTCTGGAGCACATTTTGCCAGAATGTTGTTAAGGCCTGCACCCTCTGCAGTATTCAGTGCCTCCAACTATTTCTTTATCACGTGGAGTGAGCTAAGTTGGCTGAAGGCTGATATCTATGATGCTGGGAACTACAGAAAGAGGCTAAGATGGATCATCCACTCAGCACTTCTGGCTGAAGATTTCTGTGAATGCTTCAGCCTTGTTTTTTGCATTTGCGTGTTTGGCTCTTGCATCATTGAGAATGGGGATTATTCTGGAAGCACCTCCTCCAGTGACTTTTTAATTATCCACCAACATTCATGACCCAACATGGCAGGATTATAGAACTTAGGTCTGATCAATTGGTTTTGGAAATTACTTGGTTGAATCTCTCACTTACTGCTTATGTTATTTGCCATGTAAAAAGTCATGATTGGTAACTTCACCAGATTGAAATCAATTTTAGGTATGCCTGGTGCTGCTCCTGGCACATCCTCCTGCACTCTCCATTGAACCAGGGTGGATCCCCTGACTTGATGGTAATGGTTATGTGGGGGATGTTCCGGGCCATGAGGTTGCAGATTGCTACTGCTGTCGATAGTCAACATTGCCTCCTGGAAGCCAAGTCTTGAGTTGCTAGATCAGTTCTAAGTCTGTTCCATTTAGTCTGGTGATAGTGCCACACAACACGATGAAGGATATTCTCAATCTGAAAGTGGGACTGTGCAATGATCACTCTTACTAATACTGTCTTAGACGTCTGTGGCAGGTGGATTGGTAAGGATGAGGTAAAGTATGTTTCTCCCTCTTATGCCACTACCTGCCACGTACCCAGTTTAGTAATGTGGAGCTGGAGGAACACAGCAGGCCAGGCAGCATCAGAGGAGCAGGAAAGTTGACATTTCAGGTCAGGGGAAGGGTCCCGACCTTTAGAACCCCACCAGCTCAATTAGTAGTGCTGCTGCTGAGCTACTTTTGGTGATGTGTATATGTAAATTCCCCTACCAGAGCACATTCTGTGACCTTGCCATCCTCAGTGCTCCAACATGCAGGTTACTGATTCATCAACTATGGGGGTGGGAAGAGCTGTATATAATAATCAGCAGAAGTTTTTCTTGTTTATGTTTGAACTGATTCCCTGACACTTCATAGGGTCACGTTTGCAGATGAGCAGCTCAGTGGTTAGCACTGTTACCTCACAGTGCCAGGGTCCTGGGTTCAATTCCACCCTTGGGCGATTATCTTTGTGGAGTTTACATATTCCCCCCGTGTCAGCGTGGGTGTTCTCCAGGTGCTCTGGTTTCCTCCCATAGTCCAAAGATGAGCAGGCTAGGTGGATTGGCCATGCTAAATTGTCCGTAGTGTTCAGGGATGTGTAGAGATTAGGGGGTGCGCTGAGGGTTGGTGTGGACTTGTTGGGTTGAAGGGCCTGTTTCCACACTGTAGAGATTCTATTAAAAACTGGTGGGAAGTCTACAGAGTGATACAGAAAGGTTTTGCTCACTTCCATATCCTAACTGGAATTCAGTGTGGAGAAAATATGAGGTTTTGCACTTTGGCAGGAAGAATAGAGGAGCTGAAAGTTATTTAAATGGAGATAGACAGCAGAATGCTATAGAAAAGAGGGATTTGGAAATCCTCATCAATAATCACAAGGTTAGCATCCGAGTTCAGCAAGCTATAGGGAAGGCAAATAGAATATTGGCCTTTATTTCAAAGTGATAAAAGTAGGGAGATTTAAAGTACTAGTCAGATCATAGCAGGAAAATTGAACAATTCTAGGTCTTTCATCTCAGGAAAGATGTGTTGGTATTGCAGGCAATCCAGAGAAGGTTCACTAAGCTGATACCAAGTATGGAGGCACTGCCTTATGAGAAGAAGTTGAGTAGTTTGGACCTATTCTTATTGGATTTAATAGGATGAGAGGAGGCCTTATTGAAACAGTCAAGATACTTAAGAGACTTGACAGGGTAGATGAGGAAAAGTTGTTTTGTCCCTTATGAGACAGTCTAGGACCAGGGCATAATCTTAGAGTAAGGCATTACCTATTTAAGGCAGATGAGGAATTTCTTCTCTCGGAGGGTAGTGAATCTGTGGAATTCTTTACCTCAGAGGATTGTTGAGGCTGGGTCATTACGTGTATACAACGCTGAGATAGACAGGTTTTTAATCAGTAAGGGAATTGAGAGTTATGGAGAAGAGGCAGGAAAGTGGAGCTGAAGATTATTAGATCTGCAATGATCTCATTAAATGGTAGCGTAGTCTCAATGGGCAGAATAACCTACATCTGCTCCTACATCTTACGGTCTTAAGTGCCCTTTGAATGGCCTTATGAGCCACTTAAGTCAAGGGAAAGTAAGGATGAGTAATAAATGCCAGCATGGGCAGTGATACACATCCCATGAAAGGTAAAACAAAAAATATTTAAAAACAAGAGCATTAAATATAAATTACAGTCAGTAATTTTGCCATTTAGGATTCAAAATGCATCTTTGGGTAGCCTTATCAACAGCTGAAAGATATTTCCTGGGACAGGGATTATCCCAGAGGAGCTGCCTGGGGAAGGGGTTACGTTTGATGGGAAGCCGGCACTGTTAAGAAAATGCAGTGATTGGGAATTGTGATACTGCAAAGCCCAGCCTCTTCCATATCAATCAATGATGGGTTATAGGTTCCTAACTTGTTTCCCTACATTATAACAGCTAATATATTTCAAAAAATAGAAGTGAACTGAGA